CCAACTGCAACGCGCGCTGTGGCCGGGGCTGGCAGAAGCGCTCACGGACCTGCACCAACCCCGCTCCCCTCAACGGAGGGGCCTTTTGCGAAGGAATGTCAGTGCAGAAAATCACCTGCACTTCTCTCTGCCCAGGTGAGACATGCACAGTCTGCTAAGGAGTGACTCTAAGTGTCACACTTAGGGGAGAGCGCGTTCAGTCTGAAAAGCCAGGGAGACAGTCGTGCTTTGAAGAGCCCATGAAGTCCTGAAATTGGAAATCCTTGCATCCTTGTTCAGGTTAGAGCTGAGAGCCTTGTGCAGGTCCCAGTCACAGTCACAAGCACCTGTGGCCTTGATCCACCAGGTCTGTCAGTGCTTTAACTTATACTGAAGGAAACTAAATAATAACAAACCAGCAACCAGATCAGTATGAAAAATCATATAAGTGGGTGGGGGTAAGAGGAGGTGATGTTAGTAACAACAGAAATACAATAGAACTTCACTTAAAAGTATTACTTAGCTTGGAAAAGTTTGCTTTCAAGTATATTAACCTTTAGTAATTGAGCTTATGCTCTACAGGGAGCATGGTGTTACTTCTCTGGACACTGTACATTTCCTCATTTGTTCACCTGAACCCTCCCTTATCTGATTTTGGGATTGACATTTCACATACACAACTAAGGACAGTTAGTGGGATTTGTAAGAGCCTGTGTGTGCCTGGGCTCCCAGTGTAATTGTCTGGATTCTGGCAGCTCTTCCAGCTTTTATGAGTTTTTAGATACTCATAGTGTAGTTTTTAGATACTCAGCATTTCCTGAACTGGGATTTAAAGAATTTAATATTATTTGTATAAGTCTCTGTGTTCATCTGTCTGTTCTTCAATCTGATTTATGCATGAAAAAGAAAGGGAGCTGTGGTTCCCTTCTCAGCTGGGATGGGGTCAGAGGCAGCTGTGAATCCGGCAGCAAAGCAGGGTGTGGATCCCTTGTCTTGCTCAGGACACCAGGCAGAAGCTGCCAGGCCAGCCATGCTCTTTGTGTAAATGTCAGCACCGTGTCCTGGCAGGAGAAGGTGTGGTCTCTCTCCATCTGCCTGTTTTAAGGTAGAATTTGCATTGAAACATTAGAATCTTAATAGCTCAGTAACAAAGGAAATGCGTCCTCCTGCAGTTCTAATTGACTGCATTTGCAGAGTGTTAGATACTGGTGCTATTTTAAAAGCTTCCATATTGCAGGCTGGATTTTATTATTTATATTCTATATGTATTATAATGCTGGATTTTAACTTCACATCTCATAAAACTGTATTTATTTCTCCTGAGAATTATTGTTTACTTGCTGTGGAGAGAAGTGATGAGGTAGGGCCTCTCACCTGCCCCAATCTGATGTACAGTGATGATGGTTGTTTTTCCTTCCTCCCCATTCAGTGGATGGGAACTGGGAGGTGTGGAGCGAGTGGTCTGTGTGCAGCCCCGAGTGTGAGCATCTGAGGGTTCGGGAATGTATCGCGCCTCCTCCCAGAAACGGAGGGAAGTTCTGCGAGGGCTTGAGCCAGGAGTCGGAGAACTGCACCGAAGGGCTCTGCATTCAAGGTGAGTAAGGGTTGTTGCGGAACTGGGTTTGGGAGTGATGGCCCCAAATGTATCTTGTCCCCCAGGTCAGGCAGCGTGTCTGCCACACGGCGTGTCACTGGAGCTCTCCTGGCTGAAATACTGCTGGGAAAAAAGAGGTTGTTTTCAGAGGGTTGCGTATGTGAAGTTTGAAATCCACAGTGGTTTCTGAGTCACTCCATTTGCGTAGCACATACTTTACCTATTAATTATCAGATTATTCTAAAAATCCAAATAAAGATTTTTTGCAGTGTGTAATTATGACCAGCTGCTACAACACATTTCACACAATGTACTGCTTGGCTGCCTTCCTTCTCTTGTGAGTAAACTGGCAGAGCACCAGCAGGAACACTCGTGGTGCAAGAGCTGTTTAAGGTCAAAGTTTACTCTGTTTGTGTAAGTAAAGGCAACACTACTCTGTGGCGAGTTCCCTGTGAAAGGATTTGTCCTTCATTAATGTCTGGAAAGCAGCTGCCCTTTGGTAGGAGCCAAGAAGCTCAGCCCTGGGGCTCTGGAGCTGCAGAACACCCGGAGACGGCTGCATTGCCTCAAAACAAAGAAGAAATTCTCAAGTTTATTCCTACTCTGATGCTCCATGAGGTGATACTGTCACCTCACTGCTCCCTGTCCATGAGGTGATACTGTCACCTCCTCCCTTTCTAGCCAGGAATGGGAGCCGTGGGAGCCATCAGGAATGCTAGGGCTGAAAGGTACAAACTGAAATATGTCTACTATTAATTTTATTTTTAAACAGTCCTCTTTCTTTGTTTCTGCGATACTGCATTACCCTTCCTTCTTAACCTTTTGCATGTATGTGTTCACATTATGCTCAGCAGTCATCTTCTTCCACCAGAAAGACTATGGCTATAAATCCTAAGCCTTGTGCTCCTGACCATCCCTTTGGTGCCTACAACGGCCTCAGTGCCGTTGGCCCCAGGTTCACCCTCCTCGTCCTGGCTGGCAGTTCTGTGCCCAACCCCTTCTTCAATGAAGGACATCTGGCGAGATGAGGAAAATAATTTTCTAAACAAAGTGAACTCCCTGAGATTTTAATAATTCCTTAATGGCAGACAGCATCCTGTGTATTTATTCAGGCTTCAGAAATACGTACACCTCAGCTGATGTAAAGTAAGTTTTTGTTGGGTTTTGGAGGGAGAGAATCTTCTCTTAAAGCAGAAGAGCTCCCCAGCTCCAAGGCGTCAGGCAGACAAGCTTCAATGTTTAAAAGGATATAAATGAAATTTAGACTCTTTTCCTTCCCCATGTTTTAGCTTTTGAGGCCCAACGTGGGGATCACGTGGTGTTTTCTGAGGTCTTTGTCCTCCCTGTACATTCAGTGAAAGCCCTTCCCCACAGATGGCTCGATAAATCCAGAATCCACTCCCGTGTGCAGATCAGCATCTCTGTTGGGAGGCTGCCAGAAGGATGCATTGAAAGGGGCATGAAAAGCTGCAGCTGAGGTTTGCACACGTATTTGTGACAGTCATGAGCTGACGTACCATCTAGTTGGCTCGTTTTGTGGTTTTCACCAGAATTGAGAAAAGATGGCCCTGTTTGGGTCACTGGTTCCAAGGAGAGCCGTAGCCACACACAGGCTTGTGAAGGTCCCACCTTAAGAGTAACGTCCCTTCCCATTGTGGAGCTGGGTGTCAGCCCTGTCTTATGCTTTAGATAGAGAACAGATCTGGTGTTAGGACCAAAGGGGGTGCGTGGCCGGGGAAGAGCTGTGGCTCCGAAGCACTGAGAGTCACGACACACGAGTCTGTGTCTGGGTTCATGCTCTGGGGGAATCACAAGCTCCTGGAGCCCTGTAGCACAGGTGATTTCTGGTACAGGTTGGGCCTCTGAGGGCTCCTGTAGCAACAACAAGGTATTGTATCACACAGGCTTTTCTTGGTGGCTTCTCCAGCTCTTCATCTCTCCTTTCTTAGCCCCTCTCTCTGAGGGTTTTGTCCAGGTGCTGTCTCCAGGCAGGTATTAGAATATCCCCATCATGCCCTGTGCAGTGGTGAGTTACCACTTCAGTATCAGTGTGAGTCCTTCTTAGATGTCACAGACGTGGAAAGGTTGGTCAAAAAGTCCAGTCCTCAACTGACGAGCAACAGAAAGTGCTTTTCTTTCAGGGAATTTCTTCCAGCACTTGTAACAGCTGAATAGACGGAAAGATCTATGCAGAAGAAAAAGGTGGAATTATTTGTGGTTTTGATGTGTGAGAGATGGGCAGGCCTGGGAGAAAACCAGAGATTGACTCCATCTGAATGCAGAGGTCACTTTGACTCAAGACAGACCTAATAACTTACTGGTTTCTTGCATATTTGTTCTTTCATTGTTTATTCCCTACCAGAATTCTCTCAGTTTACTTTTCCATGGTGGATTTCTCTCTGTCTTGCAGAGGTGAAAGCTTTTTCTTTGTTTAATAAAAGAGAGGGATTTGTAGAATTTTTTTGTTTCACTTTTATCTATTTGCTTTAGTTAGTTTTTATAACTTCAAAAACTATCGATTTCTTTCCCCAGTGCCCAAAAAAGGAACAAACAAGTCCATCTGCCATAAGCAGATGAACTGCAAACATGTTTTTATTAACACATCATCACTCAGAAATAAAATTGTCTTCCGTTTTTCAACCAGCACCCCCAGACAGAGCCCGTGCTCCCGCAGCACCCCCAGTCTCCTGTTTGCTAAAGATGACTTTCTCAGGTATTAGGTTATAAAGAACAGCTCAGATTACGAGGGAGACAGCCTCATTTTTAAGAGAGATGCACTACTGTATAAAACCTATTTTATAACATATTTGCATATGTATGGTAGTACATTGATTCTGTATGTTCTTTAGAATCACATATAGATGTCATTATTGGTGTATATTTAGATATTTAGATAGATACATGTGAGTATATTGCACATCTTTATATTTTATAAATTACTTTAAGTGTCCATCACTAACCTTTCCATATATCAAACACAGAAATAATGAAATCTTTACATTCTTTGGCAACTGATCCGCTTCAAAGTACTGAACTTCCTTATTGCTGAGATGCATAATATTGTAAATAAAAGCATCCAATAAAGCTAACAAATACTTGAATTAACCAAGTGAGAAATTACTGCAAAGAAACATCCTGAAAGAGATTTAGAAAAAAAAAAAAACACAACATGAAGGGAAAAAATATGGACAACATAAAATATTCATATTGTCAGCAAACAAGGAGAAAATGTTTCATTTATAGAGCTAGACAGAAGCGATATAGGAAATAGATATGCTCCATGTACATTTATTAAGTGCAACTTTCTCTTTCTCTCTCTCTTTCTCAGATAAAAAACCTCTTCATGAAATAAAATCCCAAAGTAAGTTATTTTTTTCTCTTGTAAATATGATTTTTCTCATCTTCTCTGCCATTCTGTTTTATTTGTTAGGAGCTAAATAAAACTGAAGGTTACATGAAAGGCTTTCACATCTACTGAAAGCGTCTTCTTAGCAACTTTGTGATCACGGGTTTTAGACTAAAAATAGAAAAGTGACCGTTCTTTGGTAATTTGTGTCTGAGCGGGAGCCCTTTCTGCAGGAATGCTCATCTTGAAACTGATCTCTTGAGGACTTGTCATTAGAGAAAAAACAAATTAATAGAGGAGTTTGGCTTTCTCAGTTCCAGTCTGGTTCCTCTCTGGCTCTGTCTCACCCTGGGGAGCTCCCTGCGGCCGCCCCTTCCCCCGGGCAGAGGGGGTTGAGAGTGTGTGGGTCCCACTGACACCCTCTGGGGGCTTCCACCTGGTACCCACTGGTTCTTCATCTTCCTTTGGTTTCAGTGGAATTTCAGTCCAGAGCAGCACATTTGAAGTTGAATTTGAATTGACTGAAAGATTTCATTTTTTAAAAAAGACAAATAGATTTATAAACACAGTTTTGGCTCAATTCCTTTGAAGGACTGTACTGGGCAGTAACACATGCAATTGTTTATATCTTCTTTGAAGACAGATTCTCCTATTACGTATTATAAAATATGTGAGTTTTAAGTCTTAAGTATTTAGGTATTCCTCCGGGATATTTGAAATTTTAGGGAACTTGGGCCCTAAATCATGAGGAAAACATCTGGAAATCCAAACTCGCACTCCTTTCCTTTGAGCCCACACGCTGGATGGAGGCTGCACCTTCAGAACATTCTCCAGCAAAATTTCTTGCTGACTTGAATGAATCCTGGTTGTTTGAGATCCCAGAGTATTCCCGTGTTCCTCACTCTGATAAAGTAAGAGTTTAAAACAACTGGTTGAGTATGAATGCAATAAAAATACTAATTACAGAGGGGCACAGTTATGGTGACAGCTCTGGGTGAGTGACGAGGCTTTGGCTTTTCAAAGTTCACAGTTTTAATATGGTGGAATTCTGCAGGTGCCTGAGAGCACCCAGCTGTACCCCTTCAACTGTCCTGAAGGCAGAGGAAGCTGGGATGAGAGTATTTTCTCCTTTACGTTTCCAGTTTTTAAGTATTTCTAAGGACACACACAGTCGGGTTGGGGTGGCTCAGAAATGTCTCGTGGCTGCCTTGGCCACTTACGCCCTTTTAATTTTGTCTTGTCTGTGTCTCACTGGAATCACCCCCTCCTTGGTCACGTCCAACTGGTCTGTGTCATGACTTACCTCAGGCAAGTGGCAGCTTTTTGTTTATCTGCACAGTTCCCATTAAATTAGAGAAACTTGAAAGAGTATCATTCAAGTTGCTTTATTTTCTTATTTATTAAAAAAGTAACTTTAATGGCATTGATTTTTGCGTATGAGATATGTAGGAGAATTACAGGGTTTCTTTACAGCTCTGGGGTAGAGACAGGCAGTGCAGGCTGCTGCTGTTCGGGAAACAGGACCTCGGTGTAAGACTCTGTGAATCATCATTGATGCAAAATCAAAGTTAATTATGAAGATAATTGAGAAACAACCTGTTCTACTAAATAACCTCTGACATGATTGTCTGACTCTTGATCCTTGTTCTCAAGGACTGGCTCTGTGAGAAAAGGGCTTGGAGCTGCTGAAGGGCCCCAAAACGGGGAGTGAGGGCACTGGGGGAGGAGGGGAACCTGGAGAAACCTTTCCCATCTCCCAGCAAACTCCAGTGGGAGACGGGGGGAAATGTGTGCCCTGCACAGCTCCTGGAAAGCACTTATTGTAAATGAGATAATTTAATCAATTACGATTCCTAATGTACTAAACCAAATGTTTCATTTTCTGCTCCTGCACATCTTAAATTATCTTCAGGTGCTTTATGAAACTTAATCATAGTTAATAGAAACTTCATTACCATCAAATGTGCTTTCAATAAATGTTGTGTAACAGTGTCAGGAGGTGGAGTGAAATATAGGCTACAATTACCACAAACACGTGTCCTGTGACTGAAATGGGTAAAAACCGCAGTGCTCTGCCAGAGTCCCTGCCCCCTCTGGGCTGGGCGGATGCAGTTCATTAAATAGTAATTGGTTGACTATAAATGTTTTCTTTTTTAGTTTGTTTGTTTTTCACTTTGTTCCCTTCCGGGAAAAAAATAAAAGCAGAAAATTATCCCGTTCCCCAAATGAACCATGCTTTTCATTTTTCTTTAATTTCTAGTCTCTCATAAAAGGAATTATCCATAAGAAAAGACAGACAGGGGAAGAAATTAAAATTATTTTAAAAAACCCAACTGTTTCTAAAGAAATACTAACATCCTAAATAAAAACAGAAGTCCCCTTTCATAAGCAGTTGTGTTCCACAGGAACAATTCAAAGGAATACCATGTCACTTGTTTTACTCTTTTAAGATCAAGCTATTTAAAAATCTAATATATTCTGAAAATATTCTCCTTTTCGTCTGAACTCTGTGTATGAATAACTTTGAGCTTTTCCACAAACCCAAGTAACGTAGAGCAGTTGTAATGCTCTAAGCAGCTGGATGTGAGTTACCTACAAGTTTATTTGGTTGTGATGTGCCACAGAAGATGGATTTCTTCTGAAAGCTGGTATTTGCATGGAAAGTTTGTGATTTATTATTTTTTTCCTTCTCGGCAAGTTCTAAATGTGTTAAAAACAGATATATTTTTCAGCATGAGGTTATTTGAAAATTTAACAGAATTTTTGTAAAAGTATTTTCTGGGCTAAATAGCGGTCCCAGTAAAACTGATTCCAGAACATTTATTTTGGGTTGACTGGGATGTTGGATGCTGTAATTGGGGTCACTGGGAATGCTTTGAGAATGGATGGAAAGGATGTTTTCTATTAAGGACGTTTGGGCCCAAAACTTTATTTTACTCTGGATTCAACTGTCCAATATAAAAAAATCAATTCCATTGCCCTTTACCCACGGCACATCTCCCGTGAGCTCCAGCCCCTGCAGGCTGAGTTTGGGGTCAGTCCCTCGCTGTCACTCGTGTTGGGGACAGAGGGGACCCAGCTCCGTGGTGGCACCTCCCCAGGGAGCTCAGCAGCCGGGACTGGTCCTCGTCAGGCGTTTCCTTTAGATAAGAAACTGGGCAGCCAGGAAAGTGAGCTTTTCTGGTGCTGCCCACAGGTACTCATTTCTTTCATCTCAACGGTCTGAAGTTTCATATTAATTGTAAGAATTCAGCTAAAGTGAAGTTGTCTGACTTTCTGCAGAAAAAAAAAAATATGTACAACAGAAGGCTCCTCCCAAATACTTACCAAGTAATTTCAGTAATTGGCTATTTATTAAATGCTGAATTTAATGTCCTACCCTATTTATTTCTGTACATTGCAGTTTATTTACTGATATTGAGTAGTCTGGATTTCCTGATTATTTTTTATCACTGTCATTTGTTAGAAATTAATGCACTTTCTGTACTAAGTGCTTGTCACTCGATAGTGGAAGCAGCAGAGAGCAGGATAAAGGATGATGTATAGGCTGAATATGTGATTATCTCTTCCTCTAAACTGGAGTTTGCATTAAGGAACCAAGGACCCACCGAGTGTACTTGCAAAGTAATTTAATTTCATGGTACGTGGTCCCAAATCCCAGCAGATCTGGAATAGCAGGACTGGATAATTCAATTACATAATATTGCGGGTTTCAGTTGGATTCGTTCTTTCAAAGCAATGAATTCTTCTTCTCTGCTGTGAAAGTCTGAAGTCTTAAAAAAAACCCTCTGAAGAGCACGATGCAATCCCTAACCCAGTGTCAGCTCACCTGTAGGAGTGATGCAGCAGGAAACGTGCTCCTGCTCTCAAGGGCTTTCCTCGCAGTGCCCCCCTCGGCTCCACGTGTCTGTCCCAGGCTCTCCCTCCCTGGCCGTGCCCTCCTGGCATCCCCCTGCTCTCGGGAGCGTTGCTGACCTGGTACCTGTTCTCTCTCCTGTCAGATATCGAGACCGCCAGCGACATCGCCCTGTACTCGGGCCTGGGAGCAGCAGTCATTGCTGTAGCCGTGCTGGTGGTTGGCGTTACCCTCTACAGACGGAGTCAGAGTGAGTACGGCGTGGATGTGATTGATTCATCTGCACTGACAGGAGGCTTCCAGACATTTAATTTTAAAACAGTCAGACAAGGTTAGTGTTGTGATTTCATTTTCTTCTCTCCAGAGCTCCTACTGCACAGAGATGCTAAGTCAGATACTGATAGTCAGTGCCTGGCTGTGGGAGGGCGATCCAGCGCGAGCGCAGGGACCTGGGGTTAGACCCGTCTCGTACTGTCTCTGCAATGGTTTGTCACCCCAGCTGGGACAAACACAGCATCTTTCTTGACCATACTCTAAGTGTTACAGAAATACTGTCACTAGCTTCTACGCTGGCATTTGTGACTTAGAAAATCCCCAAACCAACCAAAACAAGCCCAGAAAGCATGTCTGTAGTTCCTTCCTATTCATTTACTCTTCTAGTTTCTTTACTCCAATAGAAGTGATTAGTTTTTTACTGTTAATTTGAGAAACCCAATTTTAAGTATTTTTATAAGCTGCTGTTGGCAGGCAAACAGCACCGTTCTGAGGTCTGTGGGAAAGAAATGTGTGTAAACTTGTACTGATTTAAAAAAAACCAAAACAACACAAAACTTCAGAAAGCCACCAACACAATAAAATATGAAAGAAATACTTACTTCGACTGAAAGCAGCACTCGGATGTTTTCTGGAGTAGTGTCTCCTTTGGACAAAATACTGGGGGGGGGATAAAAACAGTGATTACCTTAAAATAGTATGTTTCTTAAATTCTGTGCTGATGTTCCAGCATAGAGCCCTGCCTTACTGCGGGTGGGGGTGTTGGTGTGATGGTGTCCCTGTGGCTCTCGGGAGAAGTGAATTATGTCACAGAATTTGGTGGGGATTTTGTGTGTTGTTTTTACAGTTACTTTATTTTTCCTCAGCAAGCATAAATTGCAAGAAATTGGAAAAAGGGCTTGGTAGACAAGGATGTTTGAAGGATGTTTTCACATTCATTTAAAAATCCAAGCCTTTAATCGGAGTCCTGTAATTCCCAATGACTGTCTCAAATAGTAATTTCTCCCTTTGTTGTTCAGTTTCCCTTAAAAGTCTTGTTTTCAGTCTGGGGAATTGTTTGTTTGACTTGATGTTTCAAAAACATTCGTTCTGGACACTGTGAAAGGATCTGAGCAGCCAGTTTCTCTTATGCCAGATGCTATTAGTTCAGTTTCAGTTCCTTTGGGTTCTCTGACTGGGTTTTTTAAATAAGAGCATTTGTAAACTAAACAATTCAGATGAAAAAAAAGGCCTGTTCTGTATTCAGTTTGCTGAGAAAAGAGTTGTCAATACTGACACACGGACAATGGATTAGTGTGATCCAAATTTTATTCTTTGGAGAAATGTATTTATGATGTTCACAACCCAACCTGCAGTCCCTTGAAGTGATAAATTTTCAAGAGTGCAGTAGAGATAATTTCCAGAAAATTAGTTATTTTGGGAGAAATTCTACTTAACAAAACAAACAAACAAAAAAACCAAACCACAAAAACAAGCAGTAAAAGACCAAAACAGCTCAAGGATTCAGGCCCTAAATCTATCCAGTACTTTTCTTCCAGAGCCTCTTCTGAGCTAAAATGCTCCTAAAAGACCAACTGAGGCATTTTTCCCTGTGTTACTCTTGTCCCACTTTCTTTTCAGTCCAGTTTCCCTCAGGCATGAAGCTACTGTTTTGTGTAAGCTCACAGAAGAGGGCTGCAGGAGGATGTGTCTTCACCCACTGGGTTTTCATTCAAAAAAAAAAAAAAAAGAAAGAAAAAAGGCATAAACACAAATCTGACTCCAGAACAAAACCAAAGTTCCTTCTCAGATTCATGGACTCTGGAGTTGCCTGAAGTGCAGAAACCGTAGTGATGAAGTACCTGTTAGATCTATTGCATCATTTCATCTGTTTTTTAACATTGCCTTATGTGATTCTGAGCTCTGAGAGGATCAGGGAGGGAGAGCAAGTCTGAAAGGAACTGCTGGAGAGGTCAGAAAGAGATTTCTGATTGAGCATCTCACGGCAGTGACCGAGTCCCTGCTGTGCTTCACTCCGCAGGGAACCCGCTGCTCCTGAACCCCTCCATGCAGCCCGACCTGACCGTGAGCAGGACCTACAGCGGCCCCATCTGCCTGCAGGACCCCATGGACAAGGAGCTGATGACGGAGTCCTCCCTCTTCAACCCGCTGTCAGACATCAAGGTCAAGGTCCAGAGCTCCTTCATGGTGTCCCTCGGGGTGACAGAGAGGGCTGAGTATCACGGCAAGGCCCATTCAGGAACTTTTCCTCATGGCAATAGTAGAGCGTTCGGTACAATCCAGGCTAGAAATAAGGCGACGTACATTCAGAACCTCTCTTCCATCTCGACGCGCAGTGAGCTGAAGACAACTGCCATTTTTGGACACCTGGGTGGCCGCTTAGTTGTTCCAAACACAGGTGGGTAAATCCTTTCTATTAAAAGCATATAAAATAAATTTTGTTTAAGCTTATTTTGCCTGATGTTGTGTTCTCTGACTAAATAAAAAAAAAAAAATGGGAAGAAAAGTAGGGGCTCCCTTGATGCAATGTTGGGAAGTAGAGCATGTTGCCCACACAGGAGATGACTGATCAGAACAAAGCCTGAGATGAGTAGTAAGAAGGCATTATGCCTATTTGAACTGTTATAAATTACTGCCTCTCTTGATGTCTTCAGCATGAAAGTCCTATTAATCAAAGCTGTTGCTGACTTGGATCCTGATCCAAAAGAAGGGCTCCCCAGAAGGAGGTCGATACTGGATCAGCATCTTACATAATGGGGGGATATTCAAAGCAGAACGTACCCGCATCGACATCTGACTGCGTTAACGTTGTCAGACTTCATTATGTTGTTCAAGTCTGCAGCACAGAGCAAACAGACGTCTCTGGAGAAAACTTCCCCTCTCGATGAGAACTGTAGCACGGCTTTCATTAGCATTTACTCCTGCCTTCCTGGCTTTCTCTTTATTTTAGCTTAATAGCTCGACAGATTTCCATAGTGGGGCACTTCAAAGTCAAGGGGCATCTCAGGATTGAGCCGTACACTGAGACATCACGGCAGAGATGCTCAATTTGCTTTGTTTAAGAAATACAGTTTGTTTGGTGACTTCTTTGTAACACAGTTTTGTGAGACACATTTTAGACTTAAATTAGACTTCATTGCTCGCTGAATTAGCTGCAAACATAGAGCACCAAATTAAAATCAAATAAAGGATGTTAAAATCCTATTCCTGCAGGACATTGCACTTTGTACATCACTATGTTTGTATTGGGCTGAATAAAATTCCTTATGTTGGATACTTTCTTTTTCAAAATGGCAAATGTAGCAGAAATTGCCAGATACCACCATCGCAAGCAAAAATGAGATGGTTTTGAACTCTGGTGATCTTTAATCAAAGTCGTCTTTAAATTCAACTTTGATTTCATTTGACTACTGTGTCCAGGCTTATCTCTTAGTATCTCATTGAACTGAATGCTTTAGAGCCTTATCCTTCATCTTCCATAAAACGGGTACTTTAAAGGTTACCATAAAAAATGTGGTCTGTATTTAATGAAGATTGATGACAGTATAAAATTCAGGGATACAGTATTTGTTGTACAATCATGCACAACACATGGAATGTGTTCATTTCTTCACAGATTGTTTTTATGTTTGGGAATGAATATTTAAAGGCAGAAGCACTAAGTCAGTTAAGTCATAAATGGAGAAGTCCCTCATACTATTACGCTACTTTATACAATGATAGTCCATCAATTAGATAATTTAACCCAACACAAAAAAACAAACCCCCAAACCAAGAATAATTAAATAGGGAACTCAAAGGAAATTGTTCTGTTGCTGCATCAGATAAAAGCCCATCAGTCACATCTAGACTATGAATCCAGGGTCCTTTAGAGACACAAACCAATGGGAAGTCAACTATCCAATGTGAGTCTACGTAATTCCAGCCTCTGTAAGAGAGTTAGATATTAATAATTATCTGGATGATATTAATAATGTATCTTGCATTCATCTGATAATGCTGTAGTTGGAACCCCTATGTCAGAGGAGCATTCTCCTGCTCTAGCAGGTGGCTTTGCTAGATGTGGTCAATGAGAGGCCAATTGTGCTTTGCTCTTTCCATCCAGTGCCTTTCCCAAAGGTAAGCTCTGCTTCTGCTCTTTTCTAGGAGTCAGTTTGTTGATACCTCACGGGGCTATTCCTGAAGAGAGCTCATGGGAAATCTATCTGGCCATCACTCAAAAGGAGTCCAGGTACTACCCTTTCATAATTTGCATTCCAAACAGAGCTAAGTGGCTCATCTGTAGTGTAACTTTAATTGATTAATTTCAGGAGCCATTGGTGGCAGGTGAAGGGTGGTTTCACTGACGAAGCCTTGCTTTGAGTGCTTGTGAGAGGGGCAGTTTTTAGAAATAGTAATCAAGGGCAGGTTCTTACAACTGGAGACAGGAGAGTTGCTTATAGTTCTTTGCATCAGTTATTGCTCTTACCTCCCTCACCTTAAACATACGTTCAGCTAAAAGCACTGAAAATTGGTGGGTATCTCTGAGGAGTTATGGAAAGGAGATAATAACTGCTTATATAGTAAATATTTACTCACAATAACTTATAGCCAAATGGTTGCTGGAATTTTCCTTTAAGAGCTGAATGATGCAGAGCTGCCTATAAATTTTAAAGCCCAGAAATATTTTTCAAAACTTTAAATGAAATCTATTTTTTCCCCTTTTCTGATATCTGAACTCCTTTGTGAAAACTTTCATATTCCATCCCCATCTGCTGCCATAGGTTTTTGATCATTTTCAGTGAAAGATTAAGATATGTAAAAGGAAGGAAGGAAAAAACCCAACCCAGCTTTTTTATCTGCAAGGGTTCTGCAGAAATGAATTAAAATAGGTTAATTAAAAACAAGCAGCAAATTTTGCCTACTGTTCTCCTTTTTTATGGGCAGCAGCAGAGGTAACAAACCGAACCAAAGATTATCACAGGGAGATTTTCCCTTCTTCTTTAAAGTGAAATTCTCTAAAGTGAGACAAAAGCAAACATTCATTTATTTTTTTCCATCAAAATACTGTATTTTTTCTTCAGATAGTTGAGGCAAGATTGATGAGTCTCTCACCCACAGCAACTGGGCAGAATAAAGGACTTTTCTAGTGGCTGGGGATGGTGCTGAGGTGCCGGGAGCCGTCCCGTCCTGCCGGGGGGGGCACAGCCCCAGCAGCTCAGGGGAAGGGGATCACGTGCAGAGCACAAGCTGTCGTGCAGACACCCCTGGAACACAGCGCTCCACGAGCACACAGCTGTCGTGCAGACACCCCTGGAACACAGCTGATGTTCACCTGGGCAGGCACAGTGCTTGGGGGTGGGGGTAAAATAAAGGATTGGACAAAAAGGGTAGATTTTCTTTACTTTGCAAGTTGAAGACGCAGCACCATTAAAAACAAAGTAGCTCGAGTAAGAAAACTTCACATTTTGATTTGGATGGATTTGAGGGGACAGCTCTGGTTACTGATCTGTTACTTGCAGCCATGGAATATTAGATACTGCATTTGGTGATGTTCCCCTTTCCTGCCTTGGCTCATAAATGGCTCAGAACTGCATGAGACTCTTAATGCCGTGTCAGTTATTACACAGAGGACTCTCGCTGCTTGCAACAAGTATGAGAGTTCATCTAATTAACTGATTTCAGTTCATTTGGCATTAAATAATTCCCAGAATTCCCATATGTTTGTCCAATATGTTCTACAAGGGGAATGATTCTCTGAAAGCAATTAAATAGCTCTTTTCAGGCCAGTTTGTCGTTGGTCGCTCACACCCGGGAGCTGCACAGTGTGACCCTGGGCACCTGCCAGTGCCCATGCCCAGAGCCCCCACCATTGCAGTGACTCAGGCTTCTTAATATATTTTTAAAATTATTATTAGTTTTTTGATGTGGTGGGTGCGAGGGCATTTGGTAGATGACAACCACAGTCTCCCAGTTGTCCTTCACATGGACTTTGCTGGGCTGCTACCAGACTCTCCTACCACCACTGAAGGTATTTCTTTTCGTACCTTGTATATTTGTTTTGTTTCATTCCTGATACTTGCAAAATCTGAGCTATTTCTGACAGAAATGATCACCAATAGCGTAACTGAAACTCTGGATTCACATCTCCTAAGAGTGTTGTGCTAAAAACAAAATAACCTATATTTTGCTCCCATTATTGAAGCTGAATTGTCAAGGTTGGTACTGGAGGCAACTTCAGCAAAATTCCACCCCCACCCCCCGGTGCTCCATGCGTTTGTCAGCAGCAGCCACTCAGCAAAGGACGTGTGTGTTGGGAGAGAGATAGGATAGAAATGCACCGAGGAAGTTAAATAAGGCAGGTTTGCCTCGCTCTCTGGAAATAGGCTTTTGTTACCCCCTTCCTGCAGCTGCATCAAACCTGAGATAAGGGCAGGAGCAGGACACGGGAAGGCACCAGCCGAGGTGCAGCAGGAACAGTCATCCCAGCTGAGTAACTCACTGGAAAATAAATATGTATAGAAGTTGGCTTGAGGGTATCTAATAATTCTGAGACATTTTCCTTTGTAAGTAACAGGATGATTTCTTAAATTGGCTGGAAAGAGAGGTGTTTTGGGGTAACTGCTGTTTGCTTTCATGGGCTGGGTCACACAGAAGGAGCGTGGGGGCACCGGGTGCTGCCCTCTGCTATCGCAGCGCTCCGAGCACCGCGCTGGTGTGCACTGGTGACACGGCAGTGGGAGTATATCCTCATCTGTGCCTAATTTACATCTTCATTTTATTATTATATCTAATTTATATCTTGGTTAGGTTTTGATCTTTATCTTTGAAACATAATTTGCTTTAATTTGCTTGAATTTTAAGAGTGAATTACATGTCCAGTAATTTAGAAGCCAAAAATTTGAGTCATAAAAGACAGATGATGGATTACAGTGTAAAAACAACTGCCCCTTCCTCCCCGCCAAGCCCCAGCAGGACAGGGGTTTCTGCTGCCAGCTTGTATCTCCAAGAAGGGAATCTCATCCCCTTCGTTGCTGGCTCTGCCTGGGTGTATGTTGTGAGAGGTAAGGAAAGCACATTTATGTGGAACAGGGTTAAATTTAGGTTTGAATAAAAGAGAAGAAGGTTCTTATCAGATACTTCATCTTTCTAATTTAGCGAGCAGTTAATTTAACCACCCATGGGTGATGACATTCAGATGAGCTGAATCCCCAGACTTGAGTTGTGCTGATGGGGCTCTTTGGCTGTAACGGAGCCCACACGCACCGACCGACCTCACCGAGCTCTGAATTTAAGCAGAGAAGTCCTGTCCCTGACGTCTGCTCTGCGCTACCGACCTCCTTCATCCTGCAGAACAGAAATGTGTTTGCAAACCAGGGAGATCACACTCAATCTGGAAAAATTTATGAGACTGTGTTTTTAGACCATAATTTGTTTTATCTTCACTACTGTGAAAATATTGTTGATGACAGTCTTTGAAGGCAGAATGAGATGGTAATACTACCAGCTGGTGCATGAAGCAAGGCTTACTTGCATGGAGTAATTTTAGTGTTTTATTTGGTTTAAGCAAATTGAAGTGTGTTTTAAAGACCAGAATCCTAAACTGACCAGCCAACAATTTCAGTAGATGTGGTTTAATAGTTTTGTTTCATCCCCAGCTACTGCTTTTATACATGAACATCAGCACAGTAATTGGTTTGCTTACCCTTTTCTGTAATGGATGACTGAGGGACTTCTATTTTAACGAAACTGTATTTTTAAACTTGCAGTTGAAGTAATTTTTCACTCCTTATTAAAAACACTTGACAAACTTTATTGTCTTCCCCCACAAGCCTACAGCCAGAAGGCTCAGATGTTCTTCTGGGACCAGAAGTAACCTGTGGACCCTCAGAGTTGTCCGTCAGCTCTCCCTTTGCCTTGACGATACCGCACTGCGCAGAAGTGAACTCTGAGCACTGGAACATTCACTTGAAAAAAAGGACCCAGCAAGGGAAATGGGAGGTGAGTTCAGAGTCCTGCTCCCACTGTACTAGTGATGGGAACGTGGGTTACTTGACCTTACGCAGGTCAAAGATTATGTGACAAAACCAGTCATCTTAATGGATCAGTTTTAAAAAGATTTTGCATTTTGTTAAGAAGCCACTAAACTATTTTCAACTATTTTACCATGATGAGCAAGAAAGGGTCAACTTTATGATCTAGCCCATGTCACATGAGAAAGTACTTGCTTTTGCAGATCACCTACTAATGGAGCCAGTAGCCAGTAATTTTTAAAAACATTATTGTGATAGATCATGGTTCATGTCAGAACAGATCATTATATCCACACAAGAATTTATCTGGACATAAAGTCAATTATGGAACTGGTTAAAAATACACACTTCTATTTATTTTTTTTTTAACCTGGAAGGATCCTCTTGATTTTTAAATCAAGAGGTCTCTTTGTCCAAGTCATTTCAATGTGCATTCACTGATCCCCCTGTGCTCATAACCTCTGAAGGATCAGTGTACATTAAATGAAATATTTTGCTTTTTTAGTTGAAAGTGTATTTTGTAATCCTGATTTACTGGGGAAATGAAGCTTTGTGCATTCGTGACATGGGCTTTCATTTTAGTCATTTGTGTCTGTCCACCTGCACGTTCTAAGCCCACTGGCCATCTTTGAGTGAAGCTGCTTGGTGGGCAGCAGTCTCAAACCTTAAACCTCCTGCATCCTTTGGGCAGCCAGCCTGCTGGTAACAGCCCTGAAGGGATGGCTAAAGCATGAACTGAATTGTTACTCAACATCACAGAAATCCACACACTATGGAAAGGGGCTGACTTTCCCAACCGTAAAGTGTTCCCTGTCCATGTGATTAGAACCGCAGGACCCAGTAACCAGACACAAATCCATAGTCAGTCAGATTTTATTGCCCGGCTGCTGCTGGAACTCTTTGGTTCATTGCACTGTGAGGGGAAAAACCAGTAGTTAAAGCATCTGTGGAGACTGTAACTGGCTCTGCCATTCTCCTCCTCCAAAACACGCTGGTGTTTGTTGTGCTCGTGTGAAGCTTTTCAAGTTGAGCTCGGTTCCCTGCCGCAGAGGCACTGACCTCAGCTCAGCTCCATAAGGGTCGGGTCCCAGCCCCCTGGGACTCAGGAGCAGCCTGAGAGCAGGCTCCAGTCTGCTCCCACCCCTCATCTCCTGGTGCTGCAAGGCAGAACCGAGCCTGAAAGGCAGGCGAGGGGGAGAGGTGGTGTTCTGATGAAGGTAAACATACAGTAATGGATGTTCTGAAAGGAAGTCAAATACCAACTATTGTTCAAGGTTTGCTTATTGACTTTAATCTTCAAGGTAATTTCTTAACTTGACATTGGGGAAAAAAATTAGCTAGAAAGTCAAGAGCACTTGAAAAAAGATGCTAAAATTGCTTACACATCATCATTACTATTATATGCTGTACACACTGAATTCTGCACAATATCTTGCCATAAATCCTGTTGCTGACTCAGGGCTAAACGGGGAGTATTTACTCATAGGGGGAGTCTGCCTTCTCCCCTGCCCTGAGGTCGACATGAGTAAGGAGTGTGCAGGCTGCCTCAGAAATACTCTGCATTCCAGTTGAAGAAAAATAAACAAATAATGTCATGACTCCTACTGTCAAGGCCTATTGATTTTATTTTTTATTTTTTAAACCTGAATTTCATTTTGCAGGAAGTGATGTCTGTGGAAGAGGAAACTACTTCTTGCTACTGCCTGTTGGATCCTTATGCCTGTCACATTCTCTTAAACAGCTTTGGAACTTATGCTCTAATTGGGGAACCGATCTCTGACTGCGCCGTTCGACAGCTGAAAGTAGCGGTTTTTGGCTGCCTGTCTTGCAATTCTCTGGATTACAATCTGAGAGTATATTGTATGGATAACACACCTTGTGCGTTTCAGGTAAATGGTTTCGCTTTGTTCATTTGGGTTTAGTTATTTTTCCATAGAATACTAACATTCCTTTGTCCTCGGGCAACAGAAATAGTCCAGAACTCAACGGAATGAGAACACTGTATTTTTTTATGCCACTGCTGCATGACTTGTTATAAATTCCTTCATTTCCCTGCGCTCGTTTCACTCGTGGGTTTACACTGCAAGAGCATTAGGACAGGCAAACGGTCTTTCCATTTGTCACCAGGCGTTTGGAACCCCACTCTGCCCCCATTTCTAACCAAAACCCAGGCAGCCAGGGTGCACCCAGCACAAGGTACAGCTGATGGGCAGGGTCAGGCTGGGCTCGGAGCCTCGGCTGCTCCGTGGCAGAGGCAGAGCCGGCATCTGGAGCCGAGTGCGAGCAGAATTATCATTATTCTGCTCATTATCATTAGATGTGCAGTATTTATCACGCTCATTACCCTTACACTGCCATTACTCAGTTCAGGATTTCCTTCTCTGTTTACAATTTGAGCAAGAAGAAAGAGATTGCCTCACCATCCTTTTGTTATATAAAAAAATAGATAGTTGTGCATTTTCCCTTTAAAGAAAAAAACCAAACCACAAAACAATCCCCAGTGGAGATTAAAAATAGCACGACTTTTCTACATGGTATTCCAAGACAAAACAATGAAATTCACAGGCTTTTACTGCCTTAGTAAACTCAGAACCTTTAACTAAATGGTTTTCTTTTGGGAACTGAAATGAAGACAGTTGTGACAGACTATTTTTTTGCTTCCCGTTCCTATGGTACAGAACAGAAACATTAATGAAGCACACACTAATGTCTATGTGCTTCTAATAAAAGCAAAGCCACTGAAAGGATTGTTAAAGACTTACAATAGCTTTGTAATTATACCCTTTATAGCACTTACACAATTCGTGGGCTCCCAGTATCTCCCTGGCTGAGTCTGCCTGAAATTCAGAGGCCCCAGTTCCTTCTTAGGCGTTTGTAACACACCCCAGGAGCTCGGAGTCACACACTCACTCACACAAACCTGCGCTGCCCGGTGCCTTCGGCGACTCGGCGGTGGTTGTGCCCTGCCCATGTGCAGCAGGTTTATACACAACGTACAGAAATCTCTGGAACTTTTAAATATACAGAAAAAAAAACTTCCACAAAATGGTGCAATGCAACTAGGAAAGAGGCCCACGAGAGGGAAATGAGATCAATCCTGTTCAGAACAACCATTTATTTTTCTCACCCTGCTCCATCCAGCACGGTGCCGTCTCTCAGCCATTCATTCATGCTGAATTTTACCCTCAGTACATTAAATTAAAAAAACACAACAGCCCTCACCCATAGCAACCTGATTTGACTGTACCATCTTATTTCTTAAATCATCGTGACATCGAGCAAAACAGTGTGTTTCAATACCCTGACAAGTTCCCTGCTCCCAGTCCGATGGGTGGGTATCGATTCTGAGGTGGCCAACGAGACACTTCAATGTCCCAAGTACCATCCCCATGTACATGGAAATCCTCTGACGACGCCAACCCATCATTTTCACTCCAAGAGTGGATACAAATGGCAGTGCCCGGGAGAGAAATACCCCCCTGCTGGGCCCTGATAATGCTGTCGGTGAACTGGGCACCTTCCAGAAAGAGGAATTTTCATTACATTCGGTATTTGTTCCTAATACTGAAAAAATTCTTTCCTCTGCCATTGCAGGAAGTGGTTTTGGATGAAAGACTCCAAGGAGGACAACTACTGGAGGAACCAAAACTTTTGCCTTTCCAGGGGAATACCTTCAGTCTGCAGATATCTGTCCTTGATATCCCACCCTTCCTGTGGAGAATTAAACCCTTCACTGCGTGCCAGGTATCGCCAAGTTCAGCTCTTTGCATTTGAATTCAGAGGAAGTGAGTTCTCACTGTTACAGGCAGAACCCAAATAAGACAATGGTCCCTTTTATTTTCCAAAGGTGTGGTTTTAACCTTAAGTATGCAACAAAAATGTATTGCTTTATGATTTTGACAGATACTGATTTCATACATAACAGAATGATTTAAATTTTTCACTTTAAGAAGTGCAAGCTTGTACTTTATGACTCATGAAGATGTTTTTGATATCTTTGTCGTTAAGATTTCGATATAAGTATGAATATATGGCTGAAAATTGGATTTCAATGTAAGCATTTAAATGCCACAAGTTCAAATTACAGCATGTCTGTACTAAGAATTGGAGCTGAGGAAGAACAAATTATTTTTTCTGTACTACATTAATTAAAGAGGCTGCTGAAGACAGGAAAGTAAAAATCAAAACAAAAGAATTTCCAAGTATATTGGTAAGTGGAAATTATAAGTGATGTGCTGGCGCATGGAGTGGGCTGGTCTTTTAAAATACAGAACTTAATTAGAACTATATAATCTCCTTTCCCCCAGGAGCCCACAGCGAGGCAGTGACCTGTCAGTCAGTGTTCTGGCAAAAACCATTCTTTCTATTGCCGTGTTCTCCAAACCATGAGCACAGTGTGCTCTGAAACTAGATACCCCAATCTATAGCCAGATAAATTCTTCTATCATAAGAATATAATTTATGCTACAACTTAAGAAATGAAAGAAACCATGTCATTTTCAGTTACTGGGGGAACCCTTCAAACCTGGTTGGGTGTCAGAGCGGGGAGAGGCTGTGACAGGATGTTGAGAAGCCGGACGGGGACCTTTGAGCTGTTAAAAGCAGCTCTCAAGTCTCTCGTGTCTCCTGGAGGATCCAGTGTCTGTCTGTAGCTACGAGATGATTTACATTCCCTCTGTCTGCTGGGAACTTAATTATAAAGGGAGAATAAAACTGAAAGCAGTCCTGGAATCCTTGAAACACTCACGGTTCCACCACACTTCGCCCTCTGTATTAAGTTTCATATAATTCTTTTGGGCGGAGTGATTCTTCCACTCTGAATGAAAGCAGAGATGATCACTCTGGAAAAATCTAATTACAGTTGCTCCATTTCTAATATTTTGCTAATGTTTTCTTTATCACTGTTGGTATCTTGCCACGGCTATGGCTACCAACTGGGGATCTACAGGCAGAGCTTATCGTTATCACGTAGTGCTTCATCACAGAGAGCCCAGGACACTCGGAAGCCTAAACCGCGTATCAGCGGCGAGTACCAGATTCTCCTCAGCTGAGTCTTGACTGTACTTTGCAGAACAGGGTGAGGCTGCTGAGCTCTCCCATGACCAGAGCGTTGCTGGTTCCTTCAGGGACAGAGAAAAGACAGTAACCTAAATCCCATAAAAATTGCTTGTAGGAAGGGAAGAATGAAGAAATGCACATTTTCTGAGCTGTAAGCTCTTGGGCTTCCATATCCAAACTGATCATGAGAGTCCTTAAGTGCATGGTGTACTTGATTTAAACAGCTAATTATGACAAGTGATTAATTGGGAGGTCACTCAGTCCCATAATCAGGTGGATGAATGGTAAGATAGCATAGAATGAAATACTAATATCAGTCTTTTTTCCCCTTTTACACTGTTCTCCAGGTTGACAAGTCTACAGTATTTTCCAATATTTTGAAATTAGTAGAGAGCATGTTTGATTTAATTGGTTTTCCTATTTACATGCCTTCACGGCTACAATGCAGAACACCATAGTGGGTTTACAGCTGATGTTAGTTTGGAAATAAAACCAAATAATAGTGCCTTTTGTTGGAGTGTGCAGCACAAGGTGTTGGCAAGGGGACACAGAGCAGAGTCAGGGTTCTGCTCCCTGCCTAGGAGCAGTAAGTGAAATCTGAGAGTCTCTCATCATTTGTGTCACTGAATGAAACCTAAGCTTTTCAATAAATCTTAGTATTTATCGATTTAATCATCATTTACTAGTTTTGTCCTACTTTGAGTTTGCAGGTTGTTAGTAAAAAAACAACTGCAGAGAAAAACCATGGATTTTTTTTCCCCTCTTTTGCAATTGTTACAAGTTCTCTCTCCCCCACACCTGCCTCCCCATGGGGTTGATTTGTGTCTGCAGGAAGTCCCGTTCTCCCGCGTGTGGTGCGACAGCCAGAAGCCGCTGCACTGTGCCTTCTCCCTGGAGCGCTACAGCCCCGCCACCACCCAGCTCTCCTGCAAGGTCTGCGTCCGGCAGGTCAAGGGCCACGAGCAAATCCTGCAGATCCAGACATCCATCCTGGAGGTACACAGCTCCCTCTGCTTGGTTAAGTTGTTGTGTCGTGTGAGACGTGATCCCTCCCCACTTCTGTCCTTTCTCTCTCTGTGTACTTTCTTATGCCCCGTTCGAACACCAGATTTCCAGCAGAAATCAAAGCATAGAGTTCTGCAACACTAAAAATAATTTATATTTGAGTTGGTAGTAATAGTCTTCTTGTAAAAAGTTTCTGACTCGCAGAGCACCGAGAATTGAAACTAGATAGATGGCCTGTATGCTCTTGGGCCATTCATTATTAGAGCATCTTTGTATACACAGAATGTCTTGCAAGGACTGTAGCATTGCTCACAGGCGGAAAAAATCAAACATGTAGTCAAGCAAGATGTGTCCTACAGCAATGAAAACATCAGCTGCTTTTTAAAGATTATTTAGCATCTTTGTTGATTAATCCAGATAAATTCTTGATTAAAGATACATGCCCATTGCTAAATGCACTATGCAGAGAAGGCAGCAACTAAGAAAACCACAAACAACATTCTGTATAAAAACATCCTCAGAATACATCCAAACATTTTTCCAGTTCTTTACTGCTATTTTATAAAAAACTGCTGTCATTCTCTCTATTTCTCAATACAATGCTGCCTTTTTTTTCCTCTCCTTTTTTTTTAAAAAGGGACCTATCTGCCCACAGCTCCCCAGAGCATGTTACAATTCTGACTTCAAATGGATGTGCTGGTATGGAAGGCTTTCTCGGCCTGTCTCAAAAAGTGATTGAAGAGTGAAGATAATTTGACTGTAAAATAAATATATAAATAACAACTGAATACTTGAATTGCTCATTGCCTTACAATTCCCTGAACTAACCAGGTAGCAGTAGCTTATCTCACACGTGCAGGGTATGAAAATCTACTATTGTTCTGCATATTTAATTTAAACAGTCAGAGCATGCGATATATCTACAGCTCTGCTATTACTTTGCATGGATGACTTTTGGGATGCATCATAAATGTTATATGAGGAGACTATAGCATCAGTGTTGTTTAATATTTATGCTGCATTGCACTGAAACGAGAAATGCATGGAAACATGACTGTTACCCAAGGCTGGTAGAATTTCATAGGAAAAGAATGGGCCAGATCTACAAAAGGACCTGGATTCCAAAGGGATTTTTAACATGGAAGAACTGAGGTGTTTACAGAGGTGTTAACTGAGGTGTTTACAGATTTAGGTGCTTTTAAAAAATCACAAATGAGAGATTTATCTGTCCATATAAGTCCATAAGTCCACAGGTGCTTGTAGGAGTTCCTTCCCAAATCAGAAAAATGCCTCTTAGCTGCTTAATTTTCTGTTGTCAATTCTACAATCTATACCTGGACTCTCAGGCTCAGGTTTGAGTCTTTCTTCCTCCAAAAGCAGAGCTGATGCACCCACACACGTACAGAGACAGGCTTCAGATGCACCCACAGGGACAGGTCACAGCAAAAAGAGCAGTGACCCCTCACACTCACAACGACCCTCGTGCTGAAGGGACGGGCACAAACCGTGTCACAGCTCCCTGTTTCCAGCCAGGAGCATGTGATGGGACTTCAGATGCTGAAGAAGCCACCTCCAGCCCCGTGGTGGCCAAAGCCCGATGCCCTGACTAACTGCTCTGCTTTTGCATTCTGTTTAGAATGAAAGAGAAACCATCACTTTCTTTGCACATGAGGACGGCAACTTCCCTGCACAGATGGGTCCGAAAGCTTTCAAAATCCCCTACTCGATTAGACAACGGATCTGTGCAACGTTTGACACACCCAACGCCAAAGGCAAAGACTGGCAGATGTTAGCACAAAAAAACAGCATTAACAGGTAATGGAAAGCAATTATGAAAGGTGAACATTTACATATGCAATGGGAATAATTTGCTGCTGTTGTGGGTTTTTTTGTTTGTTCACTGGTATTAAAGATGTCTGCATAGTAATTAACGCATCTCAAGGATGAGCCGTAGTTGGTACATTCTTTTATCTAGACCTGGCTGCTGAGAACAGGAACTGCTTCTCCTCTGAATTAACCCCTGTGCCCTGTCCTACCTGAGCTTTGCTTCTGAGCTCCATTTCTCTGTTCTTGGTTTCCTTTGTGCACCCACAGGAGTGGGGTCATGCTACAAGATGAGACTGTAGCAGGATTTTGGGACTGTCATGTGCTATGGAAGCAGTGGTTTAAAGCTCTTAGGAGGCTGCATGTTCTTTCTCAAAAAAAAAAAAAATCATATGGCCTGTTGCCTTGGTTTCTATCTACGTATTTTGTATTCCAAAATGAATTACACATTTTTCAGATTTTTTACTAAGGAAAAGGCATATTTAAAAAATACAGTCATGCTCTACTGTTACGAGTAATAATATTATGATTATTGAAACTGAAAGGTGCTGTAAAAACTAATTTACTACTTATTTTGCTTTTTCCGCTTGGCTAAATTAAATTGGTGGAGGCAGTTCACTCACAGAAATATTTTGTGATTGTCACAAACACCATAAATATGTTCCCAAGAGGGTAGAGGAATACTTAAATCAAGCAAAATAACTTTTCATTGACTTGTTGTTTTGCATGGGAATCTCAATAAACCACATCTGGACCAAAGAAAAAAAGCAATTTATAGTCTTGCAGCAACGAGAGTGTCAAAAAATTCTACTTTACTTATCAGCATTTACTACCCATTGTCAGGCACTTTTAATCTCCCCTGGTTTCTGTTCCTCACGCGTGGAGGAAGCTGGAGGAGATTTCTTCTCTCTCTGGAAACCGGGTGACAGAGTACTGAGGAGATTACACTGACTTGTGTTAGAGCAAATTTGTGATAACCTTTAACTTTTGATTCTGTGTTGGAGACTCCTGGTAGGGTCTTTGCAATATCTATTTTTATAAAATCAAATTTATAGATGGAAAAAGAAAGTTGTTGAGCAGTTTAAACAACACAAAATGTAGTTATAAAACCAGACGGTAGAACATCAATACCTGACTTCACAGATTTCCACGTGTCGGCCGTACCAGGGGATCCATCACAGGATCTCCCCCATCAATTCTGTTCTTTCAGTGCACTCAAACTATTCATGTCGTTGCTACAAGAAGCTTCTTCAAAGCTACCTACATAATCACAAGCATCAATTTTAGTTATGATTCCCCTCCCAGACAGATACTTCCCAGATTTGCTAACGATGCTTCCCAGAGCTGACTGGTTTCCTAAGTTATCTGGGATGGTGCTGCTGCCAGCCTTGCTGTGCCTCAGAACATGTCCCTTGTTCAGTCCACCTCTGCTAAACCGAGCGAGTGACACCTGCAGAAGAAAGGCACCCATGTGTGTCCTCTTGAGGGTTCTCCCCCCTCATCTCATCTAGGTCTTGCTGAAGGTTTTTAGTTTTTTAAACACATCTATAGCACTAGGCAGAACGGACGGCACTTGCACATTCACGGCAGCTACAGCATCTACTGTTCCTCATCCTGTTTGTTTTGCCTTTGTCTCCCCTCCTTCCAGGAATCTCTCCTATTTTGCCACCCAAAGCAGCCCGTCCGCCGTCATCCTGGACCTCTGGGAAGCCCGACATCAGCACGACGGCGACCTCGACTCCCTGGCCTGTGCCCTGGAAGAAATCGGAAGGACACACTCCAAAATCTCAGACATAACAGAAACTGAGATGGAAGAGCCCGACTTCAGCTACAGCAGACAAAATGGACTCTAGTCCCTTTTCTCCACCCCCAGAACCCAGGGCCAGCTCTGATGGCTGCACTAAACCTCTGTGGCAGGGAGGAAATAAGGGTTTCTGCACACTGGGTGTATGGAAACAGCCATTTCCACAATGCAGTTCTCAGTTGGAGGAGCAGAAGAAACCCTATTAAAAATCATCTCTGTGATAAGGAAACCACAAGCTTCTCCCTGTCCTCTCTCCTTTAAAACATCAAAAACAAAACTACACATCTATTGTTCCTGGGGCAGGAAGGAGTGAGATACAGAGCCATAAAAGGTAAATATTATGACATAATGTATTTAGGAAACAGTAATGCTAATCTAATGCCTAGTGAAAATCAGCAAATATGACAGTGAATACGTAGAGGCACTAGAGGTTAATCCTAGTTTAAAGGTGTGTCTTCTCGGGGCCTTGACTCCCTTTGTCCTGTATCTCCAACCCACCCCACCCCCAGCGGGGGGTTATTTGATGGTATCAAAGTGAGAACACTTTGCATCTGCTACAGAAAAACTGAGAATCTGGCCTTATCCTGTTCAGATGCTTGAGGAACTAGGAGGGCTCCTAACTATTTAATTGAAATCAAGTGTATTCCAAACAATTTAGTTTTAAAACCCAGTCACTTAATGAATGTACATTTGCTTTGGAGCTTTCTGGCCTATTCTGTTCACAAAACACCAGAACAACCCCCTTCTCTGAGAAATTAGTGCATGTGTGTGCTGGAGAGAAATCTTCTAAGGGTCTTGGTCTGCAAACTTTCCCTTAGACAAAAATGTTTCTTTGGGGGTGGGTTTAAATAACCAAATAAAACACAGCAAAGTGCCAGCCCTATTTTAGCAAGTTGTTTTTTTTTTTTAATTACTTCTTGTTCTGGGGCTAAACTAAAAAGTAAAGGTGAAGTCAATCAGCACAGCTTAATTTTGGTTTAGTTTCAGACTGAAACAATCAACCCCAGACAGTACTGCCAAAAATAGGCTTGATTTCATTGTACAATTTGGAAATTTCCCAGGATATAAACCTGGCTGCGTTACATTTGCTTTAGTTACAAACATCCTGCATTTACCACCAAATCCAGAATCTAACTAGAGAATCCTCCTCATTTTTTATCCATTTCATACAAAAATAATGTAATTACTTCAACTGAACCAAAAAGAGAGCTGTCACTGTGAGCGAGTGTCCCGTGGGACTGGTACGGAGCCAAATTTAACCATTATTTTCACTCATCTATTCTTTAAAATCAGCCAAGGAGCTCATTAGGTGTGGCCCCAAGCTGTTGGTTTTGGGGACAGGAACACAATCAGTGTAACGCAGGAACACAGACAAGGCTTTAGGAGCTTTATGGAAATGCAAGAAATACAAAACAAGCCTTCTGGGGGTTTTTCAGACCCCCCTTCCCCCCCATATTTGGCCAAGAGCACCCTGACAGGCCACGGGGCAGGTACTTTGCCTGCAAATCTAGAATAATCTGGAACTATTTCTTTACCCAGGATTCCAGTCCTCAAAAGTATAATGAACAACTCTTGATTTAAGACTTTGCTTGTTCTTGCTGATCTGAAACTGCAAATTTCACTGCTTTCCCAGCTCAGCTGGAAGAGTCTTAGCCTTATAAATACTGACTTCCCCAAACATTTTCTGCACTTCAGTATTTCATGCAGCCTGACATGAGAGTTCCTGTTTGCAACGGGAAACCAGAACGGCTGCAAGCATATTTAAGACTGAGACAAAAATACCAGCTCATTTGGCAGCAAGCTGTCACTGTTTTCAGCAGCACATGGGTCTATCTGTGTTTGAATTATATTTCTAGTGACTTCCAGTCCTCCTCCTCAGAAACCTGTTCTTCACTGGACAAAATGTCATGAATTAAAAAAATAGGGAATGGCATCCACAGAGAAGCAGTGGAGGTTTTGTGAGCTGTCGTTGTCTGGGAAACCAGCTACAGTCACTCTCCAGCAGTTAATTTGTTCTCAGCTTCTCCTCAAATGCAGTTTTAATTTTCAAACTGGCTTAGGTTCCACAACAGAGACCTAAGTTCTAACCTGCAGGTGCTGAAACGTGTTCTGTCACTCCCAAGAGCTGTACGTATTTTCTCCTCTTGTTTTCCAAATACATGTGAGCTACACACAACGAACAGGGTCACAAAGAGCTGCTCGATGCAGCTCCGACCTTAAAGCTTTTTCTCAGGAAACACTCGTGTTTACCCTCAAGACTTGGGTAACTCTGAAAAACCTCTCTGTACAGCGACGCCCGACGCTGCCCACCGAGTGCTGGGAGAAGAGAGAGAGAGAATCCAGGCGGAGTCTGGTCTCCCAAGATACAGCTAAAAGGGCCTTTGGAGCGAAGGGATCTGGGTCGTACAGCAAAATCCAAGTTAGAGCCACAAACCCAATAAAATTTAGTGTCTGAGTTAACGTACTCAAAAGGAATAAATGTCAAAGTTTCTTACAGTGCCAGGAAAGAAACCATTCCATGTTGGACCTGAGGTAGGATTTTAATTTTACATTGCTCATTAGAGTATTGTTGTTGCCCTTTAGGTTTTGTTTCCTGGTTTTTTTTCCCTTTTGCTAAAGCAGCTTCTTTGTTACTGATCTTACCTTTGCGAATCTGAATCAAGAACTCTGACTTTTTCTGACCTGTTACTGTTTTGTTGCTCTTGTACTGTTTAAGTGGACTAGAAATGCCACAACATTACTTATTTACCCGTCTCCCACTGGAGCAGGGTTTGGAAGAGCTCCCAACCCCCAGCTACACCGGTAACGAGAGCGTAGAGTCTGGTGAGAGCTGCTGCACCATGTCAGGTGTCTGGTGGTACCTTGACGAGGGATCAGCAGTTACTGGTGTGGCCGCTCTAATAACAAGGCAGCCACACAGCTGTTCCCACTGCCAAACAGCTGAACAAGACACCTAAAATGCTAAATATTTGTTTCCTATTTTCCCCAGTAGGAAGCAGCCAACTTCTGCCAGCTCCCCCCAAACCTGCTGCAAGTTCGCTTTGCAATACGGTGTTCTCTCAGAATGGTAATTTAGAATTTATATGCAAATGCTATATAAATAGAATTATAGAATGGTTAAGAGTTGGAAGGGACCTTAGAGATCATCGAGTTCCAACCCCCCCCACCATAGACAGATTGACCATTATTAGCAACCTGAAAATTCCAGAAGCACATTTTTACATCTATATTAAAAAGATATTTTTTTTTGCAATCTGTATATGTATATGCATGATTTGATCCAAAACACAGATGTAAAGGAGCATTTGAAGCAGTATTAGAGGCCAGAAAGTAGAAAACTATTACGACTTTTGAAAAATAATTTAAAAAAATCTCATCACAAACTAGAAAGAAAGAGAACTATAATGTCAGACACTTGAGATTCCATCCAGCTGCCCCGAGTCTGCTGTGGTGCAACAGCCTTTTTGATTTTATGTCACCAAAGAATCTTCTTGAGCTTATTTTCATCTTCCTAAGCACTTTTCCCAGATATTTCTGTGCTGTGAGTCATTTAAGACTAATAGTTGCATTTTAAAAATGACTTACTATTTTGTCACCAAAATGGTGCACTTCCCAGCTCCGCCAGACTGCAGCATCGTAAAGCCCATCTACAGGTTTTACAGCGCTGCTTTTGCAGTCTTAGCGCTTTACATTAAAATCCTCTGAGCCACAAGGAAAGGAACCCTGTTCTGTAGATTTAAATTCAAACTTCATTTACCAGCGCGAGTCCCATAAACCCAAGACGCACTTCCACAAAAATTTTATTGGGCTTTTTGTAATAGATGAAAAGATATTGACACAATTCTCTTAAAAGACAGGGAACTATTTTTGTTATTATTTTTATCTCTGGCAACAGCTGCTCTCCTCTCTGGGCCTGTGCAGAGCTTGCTTTCAGCAGGCTGAGACACTTATTCAGCATAAATCACTAATAGAGGGATCCTGTAGGACTACTCGGTATGAATATCATACTAAAGGTTCTTTTTTTTCTTCACTTGAAAGAAAGTGCCATGTGAGAGTTCTAAAACATTCAGTAGCTGATCAATTCCAGATGATAATATTTTCCACTACAAAAAATATAGCTTATGTATATCAGGAAATGATTTCTAAGTCCTTAACAGCTGAGAATGATGTGAGGATTTGTCTTTCTAGACTTTGCTTTACTAATTTGAGTTGCACCTGGGAAGTCCTCCCACTTTCTCTGCAGCAGCAGAGGTGGTTACCATCATTCATGGAGAACCTTTTTCATGTAGAAGCTGCTCAGTGTTTCTCTGGGTTGCTCCATGGTGGAACGTGCTTTGGTAAAATACTCCCTTGACACTGTTCTGCTTCAGAAGATGCTGGTGGGTTTCCTGGAGCAACTCTTAAACGGCACATATATCCCTTCTTGGATATATAGCGATTGTCTAGTTAAATTCCTTAGAACTGAGAGGATTCCCAAGCAAATACAGTACCTTAAGATACTAGATATATAACACACACCACCTGTAGCAACACATAAAACCCAGTACGATGGCAAAAGGCCATGAATCATTTTCTAGAAACGTACAGTCTCACTCTTTTCTCTCATTGCCAATACCAGCATAAATGGTAGCAAAATCTCTTTTCCAACATGGACAAAAATAAATCGATCACTCTAAGATTAAAGAGTCACTTAGAGAATCGTTTGATAGTAACAGTGTCCGCAATGCAGAAAACAGAACTGCTGTTCTGCTCATTGCCACAAGTAAAAGAAAAATCTGTCAGTCTCCACGTTCGCTGTTCTGTCCAAAAAATAAAATAAATGTCTAGGAATTTGCCACTATATTTTTTGTATTAGAGGTGAATAGTACAGATACTACTAGTGTTTCTTGTCTGGGGCTTGGGTGGGTAGGGGTGTATTGTAATTTTCAAGCTATTGCAAAAAGCTGCTTTTAAATAAGCTGTTCAGTTGTATTGAATAACTGGTTTGTGCTTTACAAGGGAATCGGGGTGACCAGGACTCAGTGGGTGGCCTCTCGCCCTGCTCTCACAGGGTAACTAGAGCTGAAGTCACTTGTGAAAATTTAGCTGCGGGACGGGGCGATTCGCCGTCCCATCCCTGGTCTGTGCCGTGGTGTGCTGTAATCTGACCAGATTAGACACTCACCTACTGTAGAACCGTGGTTTTGTCAGCAGCTCCGTAGTTTGTCTGCCCCTGGTGTGATGACCTTGGTTGAGAATGTACTTCTGCAGATTTAAGATGATGATGTCAAACCCCTGTGTTATCTGGTCTCTGTATATAAATCTTATTGTCTAATCCCAAAAGGAAATGTGTAGCACTAAATGAAGTTAAGGGTGTTCTGCACCGAGCCTGGTTGAAGGTTTGTTAGATACAGCAGGAAGGGGAAGACATGGATCTAACAGCAAGTGTATTTGCTACAGAGAACAAGAACGTTTCCTACCAAATCCTCACTTAGAACTGACCGAAGCTTTGGTTTTGCAGTTTAAATAACATAAAACCTGGAATTTCCCAAACTGAAATCTGGAATATTAACTTTATGGTGATGATATCTGTTCAAGCAATTCCTTCAGTTTTCCCCGATTTGTGCATTCACTGCAGTTGGAGGGGGAGGGAGGAACATTTCTCCATGAAGCTGTAAGGCTTTTGCATTCTTTCCACTTTCAATCTAAAACCCAGATACCGGTACCGAACCTCACAAAGTTCCTGCTGCATCAGTGAGGGTGCACACACCAACACCCATCTGTATCTAGAGCTGCGCCTCACTGGGACACGTAGACACTTCTGGTATGTATTTGGGAACAACAAACTGACATCACAGACTTTGTGACTTTGGAGATGTAGCTGCCTCCTCCCACCTCTTAAATCGAATTCCTGCCCACTGTGACACACCTTACACATGGGTACAAAGACACTAAGTGTTTACCGTTTGTTAATTTGGGTGAAGTAAAATGGGACGCTGGTCAGGCTGGTGAGACTTAAGGCTGGAAAATTTCCATTGCATTTTCAACTTTCAAAGGACCAGCCTTTTGGTGAAAAGGGGAAGGGGAACTTCAACACAATCAAATACAAAATAAATAATAGGTTTTTTAAAAGAGGCAAAACCCCCACAAGTATTCCTCTAGAGAGACCTATTTTCTCTTCTGCTCCTTTATTTTCACAATGAATAGGTTCTGAAAATGTTGGTTCTTGCTCATTTGACTGAGCATTCTTCCCTCCCCCCGCTTCTCCCCACAGTTTCAGTGTGTTTAGAACTGAAAAAAGAGCAGAGGTTTGAATGCTTTCTTTAGTATGAAGCTGAAGGAGTAGGGAAGAGACAGAAGAACGTTAAATAAAAAGCATGGCCTTGGCTTCATACCACACTTTCTGTGCCTTGTTCTATCAATGTAAATTCTGAATGTTGTACAGTAAAATACTTGGGAAAGACTCCTTGGAAAAGGCTGCACTTGCTTCTTTTTTCAGCACATGTACATATATAAATATATATACATATATATATTTGGTAATGCCAAACAGCTGTGTTATATTGTACGGAAAAAGTAATAATGGACAGTTTGGATGTTTTATGTAGAGTTTGCAGAAATTGTATGGCTATAGCCTTTTGAAGATAAATGTACAGACGTAAATTACTGCATATCAGTTATTTATGAATAAAGAGTCTTTTACTGACATCTTAGATTACTGTATGAGTGACCTCTTGATTTCTGTGATAAAACAAGATCATAGAATGGGTTGGGTTGGAAGGGACCTTAAAACACCCCCCAGTGCCACCCCCCTGCCCTGGGCAGGGACACCTCCCACTGGAGCAGGTTGCTCAAAGCCCCCTCCTTGAACCCCTCCAGGGATGGGGGTGTTCTGATACGAGTGCTTTGGGGTGCTTCACTGGTTTTACATTGAGCCTCGTATGGGAGTTTATGCTGGAAAACTCTGTACTGTACTTTTTCCAGAAAACCTGCAAAATCTACAGGGATAGGACCAGAACTGAAGTTTAACCTTTCGTGACAAGACTGAAACAATTCAAGAATATCATCCTGCATTCATACTAGTCTGAACTACAACCCAAAGAATGCCAATTACATTCTACCTAAAATGAGATTTAAAGTATTTCAGTAAAATGCCTTATTTGTCTAAACATACATATAAGCCGTACTTCATAACTAGAAGGTCTTTGTCCTTTGCACTGCAAAAGCAACACGTATATTCTGCTCTTTGCAAGCAGGAGATGCAGCCCCTCTGTGCGTACACACACTGACACTTCCCTCTAAACCACAGATCGTGCCATTGCTGCGTTCAACAGGTGCTTGTGCCTGGAATCCTCTATCGCTGGAAACAAAGCTCTGAGTCCCATTTACCATGTAAATGCAATCTTGATTTGTAATACCCGCTACTGAGCTGCACTAGATGAGAGCTCATTGTCTTGATTAATCCTCCCCATACAGATGAGCTCATAACTTCACATCCCACTTAAAAGAATAGAAATATCAGCAAATAGAGCCCTCAGTCCTGCAATCAGAGCCTTTGATTACAGAGGAGCTATCACCAATCCCCTGCAACCCGACAGCGAAGGGGCGAGTGAATCCCGAATCACCCGCACGCATCTTCTTCACACACACAGACACCTGCCCCTCAGCGCTGTGGGGAGAGGACACGGGGAACCACGGGTCCCTTGGATTAAACCAGAGCAACGCTGCGGGGTTTGGGTTTGTTTTTAATAATTTAGCTACTGTCAGTGTCTGAGGAATAGCGATACATACTCCCTTAACGTCCTTTCCGTAGCAAACCCAGCCAGATGGGATCTTCGTATAAACAAAGCCTAGGAGGTGAGACAAAACCTTCAGCTCCCTGCTAGACACAGTACATAGCCCTTTTCTGGAAGGATATGATGTACACGCCGGTTACCACTGTCACCAACACGTGCAATTAAGCATCAACTACAAATATGTTCGCCTGACAAAATGGCACTCACCTTCAGTGAGATGTTAGAAAATGTATTCTTAATACATACACAGCAGGGGGTGCCAGGACAAGCTGTTATAAATCAAGATATCCTTCAAACATTTTATTACATGCATTTAAGTTGTTATCATCCAAGATATCATACACCATATAATATAATGGCCACCCTTTATAATAAATAGGACTATCATGTTAACTGCCTTTGACATTCATTGTAAAATTATTCATGATTAATTATGTTTGCAAAGAAATATCATATGTTATTGTAAGAAGTTCATTGCATTGTGATTTAATGAACAGCCACTTAGAAATTATACTGCAAAGTCGAGGCTGCTGTCAGGTTATTTGGGAACAGAATGATGGTCTCCACTGAACACAGACGCGGGGGGGACATTCCTGTGATTCCTGTGCCACGTTCCCTCAGGCACACACAGCCCCCGGCCACAGCCACTGCCCGGCTGCACCCGGGTACCTCAGAAATGAGGCAGTACCCAAAAACACAAGGGCATTTTGCTTTAATAAAATTAATTCACTTTTTCACTCCGATTATCAAATTGCTGTAAGATCCTTTATCCTTGAAGGACAAATTAAGTTGCTTTCCTTCCCTCACAAAGTTTGATCATTTCAGAACCAGATTATCACTTTGTAAAGAGCTCCAGGGTCCCCTCCTGCCATCCTCTGCTGGCACCACACAGTCATCAGACCACACAGCAAAGTCCCACCTCTTCCTCGCCAAACTGGCACCTGCAGTGCACTTCAATAAAAGCCTCCTCACCTCATCTCTGCTGACATACACAAATATCCCTTTCCTTCAAGCCTAAGCACACCAGCAATAATTAACAACTGACACCACTTAAATGAGATCCGAAATGTCAAAAAAGAGCAGCTGTATAGTGCTGAAAATTTACCTGAAACTGAATTATTGTAGCATTACGAAGTTTTATGTATTTGCAAAATTACATCATTTCCTGTAACTTTTACCATCCTCCTCCTACAGATTAAAGGCTTTCTGTGGAGCAAGTATCTAGTACAATCAGCATATGGTCATTTAATATCTGATAGCTTGTCCAAAGAACGCTAACGTCTTCAGTAAACATACAACGCACCGTCATCTCATTCTCAGTCCTGTTCTATCTGCACGGAATTTAGAAGGAATAACTACAGAATCCGTGAGGAATAATGAAGCAATGAGCTGCCTTCACAGCGACAGTCATGGCTCCTCACTTGGACAGGTCACACAGACTTGTTCAGTGCCATCAAATTTCCCCAGGGACCTCTGTAGAGACCAGAAGATTTTGTCACACTGTGTTCCCAGCAGCTGGTAATGGAGCTAATAAGGAATCCGTGGCAGGAGGGAGGGCTCTGGTTGGTAGAGAAAAGATAAGGAGAGAAACCGTTTCTCTCCCGGCATGTGTTTATTTTTTGTTTTGTTTTAAGGCCATTTGGTTGCTTACTCAAATCCTCAAACCCTTCTGTTGTGACAGGAGGCAACACTGGAGAGAACTACTCCTGGTTACAAACAGCACAGACTAATTTAAACTAAACTGAATAAATCCCAATCTGTCCTCTGCGAAGGAGGTTTGTGCTTTTTTGCATTTTTTTCCTCTTGTACTTGCGAGATATTGGTTTGATTTTATGTAGTTAGTATTCCAATATTTACCACAACTTCAAGGCTATTTTCCCTTATTTTGTTTTTGTTTGTTTGCTCTTTTTTTCCCTGTCAGCTTTATTTACTAAATAACAGCAGATTCAAACCACACATAGTGGTCAGTGCCTAAAGCCCTACAAAAAGCTTTGTTAGTAAAGAACCCAACCACCCAACCCTAAACGAGCCCAATCACTGCCCTGTTACTACATTTTCAGAGGTGGCCAATGTTTGCAATTACCCCGCCATTTGACATCCTAGTGCTTCCCATGGCTGAAGCATCTGTAATGCTGTTTCTTCCCTCAACAGGAAAAAAAAAAAAGAAAAGTATTACTGCAGACTTTTACCAATTTTAAGTATAACTTCCATAACGCAGTTGGAAGTTCTCCCCTCCCTGAGAGCCAGGAGCCGTCAGAGGGCTGTGAAGTCCTGTCACTGCGCGTCACCTCGAAAGAAAAGATCTGCTGGAATTCTTACAATTAACTTCACACTTAATGTGGCATCGAAACTATCTGCCCTGAAGTAACTTTGTTCTTTCAGTGTGGGAGATTCTCTCACAAGTGTTAGAAAATCAGACAGGCTCTATGAGAGAGGCAGCCCCACCACCATCACATTGGCAAGTCCTGCTCTGACACCAAAAGCCCCGCTGAAAGTACTCAGCACATGGGTTAGTGTTTGATCAAGATACTCTGTCCTCTCAAAGGGGAGAGTACTCCATGGTGAGGCATGAACTCTGCTGCAACGAGCTGTTCCACTCCTATCCTTGATTTCAAAATATGTGATTGATAATATAAAGAAAACAGCACTCCTCCTCCACAGCCTCCCCACCCCGCTTCAAAGCTCGCCATGTAACACCCGACCCATCAAAGAGGAGGGACCCGCGGGCCGATCAGATGGCACATCTCCAGCACCCTGAGCTGCTGCCTGCTCTGCTCTGTGGGACAGAGCTGCTGAGGGGTGTCTGTACTCAACACAACACTTCACTGGTGGCTGCAAAGCACCAAAGTCTGCAATGGTTAATTCCCTGGTGGGATGCCATTATCCTGCCAGCCTAGAAAAGTCCAATGACCCTGCTTAAGGTAGTAAAATCTGCTGGAAAAGAGAGAATAAGGGGAAAACCAACACTAACACTCCCAACAGGAACTCAGCGCAGCTGGGTGTGACACCGGGTATCTGACTTTGGGGTCCTCAGATTTCTCTCTCTAAACCAAACACAGCAACACTTCCACCTCCTCTGCCTCCCACGAGACAAAGCCAATATATTATCTCTTAGTGCTTCAACTCTTCAGAGCACGGACAACCTGTCTCAGATTGTCGAGTACCTCGGGGGTTGGGTCTGTACCTCTGATATAATTATTAAGTTGCTATTTCCCAACACTGCTATGCCAGAAACACTGTGAAAACCATGCATTCTTTTTCTTAGCGGGCTAAGGCAGCTGAAAGAAACAACATGGCTTAGTGTTTTGTGATTGCATTTATAAGACAGGACCACATCACAACTGCCTCTATAGTGTGGCACCGAGTTATATATTACAATAGGCAAAACACAGTATTAGCATGGCTATTTTACATATGAATAAATCATTAGCTCTAAAAAATGCCTTCTGATGAATCCAGGGTTCAAAATAAGCTTTTAAGTAGGCACTTTAAAAAGTTCAGTTCCTTGTATCAGAAATACTAAAAGTGTTTTGTTTTGAATCACCTCATAGTAATGCGTACTTTGCTGTGAATGAGGGCTCTTACTTCTTAATCATGCCTGCTACAAGGATAATTTTTCTACAGAATTAATGAGAAGGGGAGCTGAAGAGTAACTACTGAAATCAGTGAGAGAGCTAAGAAATTCTCATGATGGAAACACGTAACACTGGCTTTCTGGGAGTATATAAAAATAAAACCTTGTCATTTACTGAAGTTAGTCTCATTGTACCACTGTAGAGAGGGCACAAGTTCTGCTCTGCCTGCAGACACACACTTCTGTGCGGGTGATTCTGGAGGCAGAAACATCACACTAATAAGGAGAGAGACGGCACCGGGTACATACGTGTACACACACACACACACACACACCCCACCCTCCCAGCCTCG